ACAAGATTGGTGGTTAAAGGATATAAGCAAAAGGCAAGTATTGATTACTTTGAAATTTTTGCTCCTATTACCAGACTTAATACAGTTTGCATGGTTATATATATTGCTGCCAATAATTCTTGGAAGATTTATCAAATGGATATGAAATCTGCTTTCTTGAATGATAATTTTGAGAAGGAAGTATATGTTGAGCACTTGCAGGTTATGTGAAGGAAGGCCAAGAAAATAAAATCTACAAGTTAAAAAAGACTTTATATGGCTTGAACCAAACTCCTTGAACGGGGTATACTCATATCGATTCTTTTTTTGTTGGGAGTGGATTTCATAGATGTCTATATAAGCATATTTTGTATATCAAATTCAATTTTGATGGTGATATTCTTATTGTATGCTTATATGTGGATGATCTAATTTTTACTGGCATTAACTTCAAAGTGATTTCTAAGTTCAGAGAGGCTATGATTAGTCACTTTGAGATGACTGACCTGAGATTAATGTCATATTTTCTTGGCATTGAAGTTTCTCAAACAAATGATGGCATATTTATTACACAGGAAAAGTATGCAGGTGACATATTGAAGAGGTTTAAAATAGATACTTCCAAGCCTATATTAGCTCCAGTTGAAGAGAAGTTGAAGTTGGTGAAAGCTGGTAGTGGTGAATTTGTTGATGGCACTAATTTCAAGAGATTGGTTGGAAGGTTTAGATACTTGACGTTGACAAGGCTTGATATCACTTTTGGTGTTGAGTTAATTAGCAGGTTTATGTAGTCTTCATGCCAATCACATTGGCAGGTGGCCAAGAGAATTTTAAGATGCATTTGAGGTACACAATCTGATGGTATCTTTTATTCATATGCTGACAATTCTAGTCTTGTTGACTATACAAATAGTGATTGGTTGGTAATATGATTCAAACAGATGTATATAATGTTATGCTTTTTATTTAGGCAGTGGTGTATTTTTATGACTTTTTAAAAAGCAACAAGTGGTGGCATTATGTATAGCAGAAACAAAGTATATGGAAGCTGCACATAGTGCTATTCAATTGAGAAGAATGCTTGATTTTCTATGGTATAATCAAGTTGGTCCTACAAAGATCTATTGTGATAGAAATTCTGCTATTGAGTTGTCAAAGAATCCAGTGTTTCATGGAAGGAATAAGCACATTATATCAAGTTTCACTTCATTCATAAACTAGTTCAAGATCAGGAGATTGTCATTGATTCTTGCAAAAGTGAACATCAAATTATAGATATTTTCATGAAAACATTGAAGGTGAAACTGTTTCTCAAGTTGAAGAAGATGCTTCATATGATGCAGTTTGAAGACAATGGTTTAAAGGTGGCTGTGTAGGAATTAAACCAAGTCTTATTATTATTTACTAGTTTGTTTTATTTAGAAAACTACTTATTTCGTTGTTTAGCTGTGATTTTTTAGTATTAGCATATTTTGATAGTTTAAATCTCAATAGGATTTTGATACTTAGTAGTCTATATAAAAACCAAAACTTTTGGTCTATCCATGTAAGTGAGAGAAAACATTCAGATAATAAAACGGCCTCCCAGTTCCGTTTCTTCCCTTTTTGTCTTCTGGCCTCGAGAACTCGTTTGTCCTTTTTTGCTTAATTGTGGTGCCAAACTTTGCTTGCTTATTTTGTGCCAGTTATTTGGTTACAAAAATTTTGAAGGCCTACACTGAGGTTGAAGTAGGAAGACTACTTTCGACTATTGTACTGAGCTAATGTCCAAGGCTTTTGAGAGGGAAAAGTAAAGGACACGTACAAAAGGCCATATGACTTGAATTAGACAAAATTGAGTTTTCCTCGTATATCTATGTTTTGTGTGGTCATCTTGTTGATCATCCATGCTGAAGCTTGTGGAATTGCTGCTTGTTTCAGCATTTTGACACATTAGAACATTAGTTTTAGCTCCAAATTGGACCTGCCAAATGTATTTGTTGTTTCCTTCAGTTCCTTCAACAAGCCTAGCTGCGTTAATTTTTTTTACGGTTAAGTTCACCATGCCCCCTGAAGGTCGGGGACTGATTGAATTCCCTGTCCCCCACCCCCACCTCTAAAATAGACACTTTGCACTCCCTATAGTAATAGTCAATGAAATTTTGACCAAATGCCTATTGAAAAAGAACTAAAAAGACCATTTTATCCTCAAGACAGGAAAATGAGTGGTAAAATTATAGAATTGGCCTGTAATAGATACAAACATTCAGGTTTTAGTCATACAACGGAAAAAAAAAAAGGTTCCCCAACCCTAAAAATTGATCTCCTCCACTTTCCACTTTTCAACCTACAATCAATTACCAATCACCATGTCTAGGTCTATTGAGCATAGTTGATTGACAAATTAAGAAAAAAAGGGGGAAGGTTCCAAAATGCAAGAGGTGAAGAAAACACATAAAGTTATTTTTATTTGTTCTAAAGTCAAAAATTGACTTGAAACTTGGCCATTCGATGCTTGTTAAATACTGGCGGCTTACTAATGCTTCAAAATGTAACCTTTGAAAAAATAAATGCTAATATTGCAAGTGATTTACAGGGGCATTGTGGTATCAAAATTGTAATTTCATCGTATTATGCTAGAAAGTACAAATGGTGTTAGCATAGGGGGTGCAAACTGCCCATATTTTGGATTGAGGGGGGAATATTGAACCAAACACTAACATTCATGAGGCCAAAGTGAATAACTCTTTTTTTAAGGGCTAATTACATTTACCTCCCCTGAGGTTTATCCAAATTATGAATCAATCCTCGAGGTTTCACCAAATCACATCTACCTCCCTTGTCACTAACTCCGTTAATACCCTATTGATAGAAATTATAAAATGACAATATTACCCTTAATATAAATGCATCGAAGGTAAAAAAAAAAAAATTCTTAGATCCATTCTTCTGTAAAGTTTATACAAAAGAAAAAATATTAAAGGTATCAACTACTATTAATCTTTCTTGTGAATGTTTGGAAATCAAAGATCATAATTTCGATTGCAAATAAGTGAAAAAATGTACAAACGTTTTTTCCCCAAGGATTAGAAACTCCAAACAAGTGAAAAATGGAAGTGCTTCGCCCCTGGCGTCAATTCGAGATCTGAGGATGAAGGAAAGGAAGAAGAAAATCTCTTTGTTAATAGTTTGAATTGATAGGGACTAATTTCAAAAAAAAAAAAGAAAAATAAAGATTGGTCACCATAAGTCTCTTCCCTTTCCACGAGTGCCATCTTTCTTATCGACTTCACCAAATCCACCATAACCAAGCAAGCCACCATCTCTTTCTTCCTCTTTCCTCAGTATTTCTCTATTGTCTTCACAAACCCATGACATTAAAGCTGCATGAATAGTACATCAAACTGGAATTGCTCAAAACTTGAGATCCCATGACTTAATGTATCAATCTCTGGAGATTTACCCTTGGGAGTCAAAATTGATAGATCTATGCATGCTTTTGGTTAATTTTACTTTGTCAAGATCTCTATTGGTGGTTTACTTTCTTTGTTTTTATTTTTTATTTTTGTAGTTTCCTTGAATCTTAGCTTTGGTCGATCGGAATTGCTCGATCATTGCAATTCATGGAGTATATTTTCAAATTGATGGATATGGCAAACTGTTTAGGCAAGTTGTAGTAGCTTTTGGGTGCTCTTGTTCCAATTTTGATTGAAAACTAAAGAAAAAGTGGTGTTTGTTGGCAGTTTTGAGTTATTAGCGAAAGATGGTATCAATGCCGGTTTGAAACAACTGTAAATTTGCAATGTCTCCTACGTTTTTTAGGGTGATGATAAATTTTCAATATAAAAACAAAAAGGAAAGAGGAAGAAAAAGGGAAACAACAACATTGATGGGCAAAATTAGGAATTCAGTTGCATTTTTCTGGTGGCTTGCCTGGAGATGACTGGTCAAACGTTAATTGACTAACTGGAAGGCTCTACTTGTTGTGGATCTTTGAGTTTGATGGACCGTTTTGTAATTTTATCAAACTTTAAGGATTAATTCGTAGTTTGGACAAATCTCAAGGGAGGTAAGTGTAATTAACCCTGTTTTAAATTATAAATGGAACATGCTACTGGTACAACTAGTTGGACCAAGACTCAGATTTTCTAACTGAAGGCGAAAAGAGAGTGTAACTATTTTAAAACCTTCTTGTGCTTCGGTTTCAAGTCATGGGGAAATTACGTTATATATGAGGTTAATCACAAATCTTGCCAAACCACAGATTAACTTAATTGTCTCCCCTAGTAATATAAGTGAGAGCAATTACAAAGATTTCTTAAAGCTTCATGATATCCCCTTCCGAACACATTGAGATGGCAGCAAACCATTGTTCCCTTCATTATTCTTGTCATTGAGTTGCTTGCAGTTTGATAGAAGGATGACATTGAAACGGATAACATATGAAGAAGAACAAACGTTAGCCTACTATTTTGTTTGATACATATGTGTATTCTTATCCTTTATTGCAGGACATAACAAGCTGCTTATCCAGAATTTTGCAACCGCTAATCTCGTCTTCTGAATTCACAAGAAAGTTGCAAGAACAATACAATAGGAAAAAGTACAAAACCAGTACTCATATTTCTGTGATCGAATCTTCTGTAACTTCACTAGGAAATTTTCTTTTGGCCTTGGCCTTCAGATCATCAAGATAATGCTGATAGACATAAGATATAAATCCCCACAGGGCTAACAGGAGGGATACTACTTTGGCAGCAGTCACCTTGTCGTGGAAAACTACCACAGCTAGAACTGGAGCAACCGGCAAGCCCACAGCACTAATGACATTGGAGAACGGGGAAGAGACCTTGAAAATCAGTCCATTGCAACCGATGTTGAAAACCTGCCATGATATCCCAGTCCAAAGAATAGTCATGATATACGACACTTTCCCCAGTTTAAAATCCTGCATCTCTGATTTCAAACTCTTCCACTCTCCACTCGCAAAAAGCCCCACTACGATTGCAAGCGTTGCAACTAACGACTCGTAGAATGTGAGATCAATAATGACTGAAAGTTTTGCTTTTAAGTATCTTCTGAAACATGAGTTCAGTGAATGAAAGCACAAATGCATATAAAGCAGATGCAGCAACAGTGCATATAACGCCTACTGTGTATTTGTGCTTGGAGGCGTTACTGGAATCTTCAGTATCATTGTGGATTACAAGGATTATGGAAGAAATGGTTAGCAATGCAAGAGAGTTTATTATGAAAAAGGTAAGCTTCTGTGCATTCAGGAAAAATGCAAAAACAGCTTTGAATGCTAATTGGCTTGCACATATCAGAGAATAAGTCGAGACTGGAAGGTATTTTAGGCCAAGTGAGTATAACACGGAATCCCCAGCTGTACACAGCCCAAGAAAGACATAAATTGAAGTAAGGACAAGAACAGAAGGCTGTTGGACTCTACTATAATCTGCATTATTATTCTGTAAGGAAGAATGGAAGAGGAAGGGTAGGAGCATGGGGAAGCCCATAGTTAGTGTCAATGTTGCTAACCACGTACTGTTTCCGCCCTTATCAAAGTATAATCTGCCCAAAAGAGTACCAACGGCCTGGCCAGAGAGGAGAAATAATATGTAGATGGCCACTTGAAACCACCATTTGTACGTTCTAAGCCAATGTACATCTGATTGTAAGCATGGTTCGAAGTCTCGGCCGAGTCGTCACCGTCTCGGCCCCTACCGATACGATACCGTGACGAAACGATACCGAAATACTTGACTCGCCGAGAAATCGGCCGAGTCGTCACCGTGACGGATTGACTCGGCGAGTCACACCGAGTCACTCCGAGTTATCCCCGAGTCAAGACGAGAAATCAGCCGAGTCACACCGTGACGGATTGACTTGGCCGTTTCTTTTACTATTTTTTAATTATTTTTATTTAGCATACTTTTTTATATTATTAACAATTTTTAGAATATTAAATACTTTAAAATTTGCGTCTCACCGAGACCGCGACCGATATGCCGAGACCGATGTGGAACGTTCTGGGCCGCGACCACAACCGCGACCGTGACTTTGAACCATGATTGTAAGGGAGTTTTAACATTTTCCGTTGACAATAGTACTTTAGCTTCCATACATGGTCAGGTAATATTAGAAGGAATCAGCATTATCTAGACAATTCCACTTGCAAATCCCACATAAACAAGAAATAAAAAGGATAGCTTATTGAAATATACTCTTTGAACTGGGAGGCTTATGCGGTCAAAAATGAAGTAAACCTATGAAATATGACTTCCATTGATCAAATTTGCTACTGGGGAATAAGCGGATTCAAGCTTCCTGATTACATCCAATACGAAAATGCACCAGAAAAATTTGCTCCAGTTCACTGCTACATAATAGTTAATACCTTTCTTATATGCTCTCTCCTAGTGATAGAAGTCATAAGTAGATCATAAAGAAATATTTAAAGATAGGAACTAGTGTCTTCATTAGTTAAGAAAAGAAGCAATTTCCGTAACCAGATTTTCATATTAGTAATCAAATATGATTAAGCAACATTCTTTTGGCCCTAACTGAAGTTAAAATCATAGTTCAGAACTTACGTTTCATCAATACCCTGAAAATCATAAACTTGCAGGGCAACAATGTACTCAGCCTACATTTTTAACTGCTAAACAGCTGTTCTACATTAACTATTAGGCTTTACCAGTGCAAATGGGCAAATCTCTGCCTCAACCTCTGGAAATTTGATTTAGAGCTAAAATCAGAAGCTGATGGTCCCTGATTTTTATTCAGATATCTGTGATCAACTAGACAAGCGTCCCAATTTCAACTTCCTGTCAATGTCCATAAAGTACTTCTACGGAGACCCAAATTCCAGAGTGGTTGCAAGAGTTATCCAAAACTGTTATATTCGTATAATTCGTTTCTGTGGATATGAGAGTGGAACGAAGGAGACATATTGCAAAATGAGAAGATTAATTTCTTGCTAGTTGCTAATTGAAGTGAAAGAATGAAGTTTAAGATTTGGACCCTTAAAAATGTGCATCCTGTTTGTTTAATGGTTCTTTGTCAATATTTTTCAGCTCTTTAAGCGTAATTGTGTTTCTTGGTGATATTTGGTATGAAAAATGAGGAGTATAAGCGGTTCAGACTGGAATTATCATCTGATTTGTTTAAAGGAGAGCTAAATTAAATGATCCCTATAACACAGGCATTCGATCTTATCCCTAGTTTTGGTATCTAATGGAAGGTCGAAAGCTTGCATTCCTCAGCAAAACATGCCACAGTTAACTGGAATTAATCCTGTAATGATGAGCTTTAATACAAAATTTCAAACCATGTCTTGCTAATAACATCAGCGAATTAACAGTTAATCCTCCAGGGGCACCTAAGCATGGTCATGGTTCCCTGGTGTACAATTGTTGTCTAAAATAGTATATTTGCTGTAGGGTATGATAATCAACAAAATCTGTGACTTTACTAACGTAATCCTAAACATGAAAAAATTTGATAGGTACCAACAGATTATGACTTTAGGACAAGAATGAATAGCCAAAGTGCAACAGAAGAAAAGGGAAATTACGAATCGACTTACTTGTGGTGCATGAAGGCTGTTTTCGAGCTTCCTCCATCCAAAAAAATCAGTGCAGAAACAGTGTGATTTTAAGTAAGGATAAAGCAAAACAGTTAAAACTTTTTAAATACAATGCTAGGGTAAAGTTTTGAAAAATTCCCCTAAAAACAACTACAGATGCAGCAGAAACCACATCAAGAAAACACACCAAGAAGTATTTAATTACCAGATTCTGTTAGTTCTTTGACTGCTTTTCAAAGCTGATGGGATATTATCAAGATTGCTTGCATGTCTCATCAAAATCAATAGCAAGTATGCCATTCAGTAGTCAAGGCTTTCACTGATTGCTGAATAAAATATCTTATTTGTCAATACTGCTATCGATTGGTGAAAGCTACATGATCCAAGTTGTTATAAATTATAAATTGGCAGCTGAGAATAATAATATGATTTAACACGGTTTTGTGCTCATCTCATTAACCATTTGTTACTGAACCAAGTCAACATCTTCCAGATTGAGGCAATTTTATTGCAGCAAACATGATATTCGCATTTTTGTTGTTTTATGGTCATTGGTACATCCTTTCTATGAAAAGAGTGATTAGGCAATGAAATATCATTACCTTGTCTGTGAGGTCTATGGTAGAAATAAAGGAGAAATCCAGATTAGATCTGCAACTATCTTACTCAGTTACTCGTCTAATCTGTTTATAGTAGCTGGAGGGAAGAACCTGTCAAAAAGTTGCGCTGCTGTTAGATATGTTAATGGGTAGGGTTTGGGTTAGATCCTTTGATCCAAATTCAAATTTATTAGCTTTAGTTAGACCGAAACCCCAAATTCAGAGTCAAATCCAAACCCATATGTGTTTGAAAAAATAAGTCCAAATCCAGACCCTCCTGGATCTGAATATCCAATGGGTATTCATTGTTTTTTTATAAACACTCTAAAATAAAAATATATTAAAAAATATAGATTTCAAAAAAAAAATATAAATGCCATCCAAATTTTTATTTTTAAATAATAAAATTAATATTCAAGAAGTTGAATGCAATATTATGAATTCAAAAAAAAACAACTACTATCAATTGCTTCTATTTATTTTTAAATCTTCAACTATATTTACGTCAAATCTTTCATTTATTTGCCTTTACTTTTCTCTTTTTTCTGAAAAAATTTGTACTAATTACAGTGATAACTAGGATTAAGTTGAAAAAAGAAAACAATCATGAAGTCTTACGATATTCGATCCAATAACCATAGAATGTTAGAATATTTTATAACTTTATTAATATATATATATATATCTGTGTGTACATACATACATACATGCATACATATATATATAATTTAATTATATATACATGGGTCTGAATAGGGTTTGGTATGAGTTTATATTTAGGTATGGATTATAGAAAATCAAACCTTACCAGACCAATAACTCTTTTATAGGGTCTGGGTTTGGGTAGGTTTGGGGTTAAGAAATTAAATCCAAACGCTACCCAAATACATTGGGTCTAGGTTAGATCTGAGTAAAACTCGATTCATTGATATGCCTAGCTTCGTTTGGTTTAATTAGATTAAAATCTGTTCAGAATAATACATTCTACAAGTAGTAGTCACTTAGTTTAAGGCCTATCAAATTGAACAATTCCATATAAATTATATTGGTTCAATTAATGTCAAATGGTTAGTTGTCCTTTGTCATTACAATTAAATGTCATTTAAAAAAAATATTTGGCAGGGTGGGATGGGATTTAAGAAGTGAGGAGGGGACAAACGGATTAGAACTCAGAACCTTTAATTCTAGGGATCTCAACCTTTGCCACTAAATCAATATCTTATCGGTTCAGATTAATTCATCCCTTTGAGTTGATGAAAATAAGGGTTGTGGTGAATTTCCACTTATTTATAGTTCTTTTCTGGATAATTCATGAGAAAGTAATTAGTTTGTATTTGAGAGATATTATGTTGTAATAACCCGTATTTTTTCTACCTCTATTTCCCCATCTTTCAAATGATACTTAGTGAGTTAATTTTAAATGGGATGTCCCATTTATCTTTTACTACCAACCGTGATTTCATTTATTTAATGAATTTAGACAAAGTGACTTGTCCTAAGTGAACCTAGTATGAATCTAACAATATTACCTATTCCTTTTATGGAGACCACACGAACCAGGGCATATTCTACAATGATTTCTCACTTGCCATATTAATTAGATTAAGAACCTAAACACAAGCTAATTTACATTATCTTTTAAAGGATGCTCTGTTTCTTTTTATTCCAAGCTAGACGAATGTAGTCATCAAATTTAATACCATTCATTGACCATATTTTACTTCTCTAAGAAAAACGAATAGGGTCACATTTTGGACTACATAATATTTTCCTTCCACAAGTTTTGTTACTTAAATTAAAGTGTTTAGTTTGAAAGATGTAGATTTTTTCCACCATTCAACACAATTATATGTTGTACCCTAAAATAGTTTCCCAAATTGTAGTAATAAGAATTTATTTGGTAGAATATATATATATATATATATATATATATATATATATATATATATATATATATATATATGTATGTATGTATATGATGAAGGAGACCTTTTATCCTAGCATCCCATTGAGCTTCCTAGCTTCCATTATTTTTGCTTAGAATTTTGAACTTGTTTTTTTCAAAAATTGTTTCATGTCTTATGTTTGGATTGGTCATAATATCATGCATTGATTTATTGTATTTAATTCTTCAATTTTAATTAAGTTCAAAACATGTCATATATATACGATGACCGGAAACTTCTATCCTAGCCTCCCATTGAGCTTCCAAGCTTTCATTATTTTTTCTTAGAATTTTGTACCTGTTTTTTTTTTTTTCCAAAAATTGATTCATGTCTTATGTTTGGATTGGTCATAATATCGTGCATTGATTTATTGTATTTAATTC